GGGGCCACCATGGAACCCGTGGACAAACCCACTTGGTACCCATATTCTAGCCCAGTTTAGACCCAGTTGGGGCCCAGGTAAAAATTAATGAAAGCTCCCAAGTGGGGCCCAGATGGGCCTCATGTAAGTTACCCATCTGGGCCCCACTCAAAACCCAGTCAGCACCCATTTAAATTACCTGGGCAAACCCATGTGGGGCCACCATGGAACCCGCGGACAAACCCACTTGGTACCCATATTCTAGCCCAGTTTAGACCCAGTTGGGGCCCAGGTAAAAATTAATGAAAGCTCCCAAGTGGGGCCCAGATGGGCCTCATGTAAGTTACCCATCTGGGCCCCACTCAAAACCCAGTCAGCACCCATTTAAATTACCTGGGCAAACCCATGTGGGGCCACCATGGAACCCGCGGACAAACCCACTTGGTACCCATATTCTAGCCCAGTTTAGACCCAGTTGGGGCCCAGGTAAAAATTAATGAAAGCTCCCAAGTGGGGCCCAGATGGGCCTCATGTAAGTTACCCATCTGGGCCCCACTCAAAACCCAGTCAGCACCCATTTAAATTACCTGGGCAAACCCATGTGGGGCCACCATGGAACCCGCGGACAAACCCACTTGGTACCCATATTCTAGCCCAGTTTAGACCCAGTTGGGGCCCAGGTAAAAATTCATGAAAGCTCCCAAGTGGGGCCCAGATGGGCCTCATGTAAGTTACCCATCTGGGCCCCACTGAAAACCCAGTCAGCACCCATTTAAATTACCTGGGCAAACCCATATGGGGCCACCATGGAACCCGCGGACAAACCCACTTGGTACCCATATTCTAGCCCAGTTTAGACCCAGTTGGGGCCCAGGTAAAAATTCATGAAAGCTCCCAAGTGGGGCCCAGATGGGCCTCATGTAAGTTACCCATCTGGGCCCCACTGAAAACCCAGTCAGCACCCATTTAAATCTACCTGGGCAAACCCATGTGGGGCCACCATGGAACCCGCGGACAAACCCATTTGGGGCCCATATTGGCAGCCCTCTTTTATCCCATATGGGGCCCACATGGGTATGCTGGCGCGGTGTTGGTGTCTATTTTCAGCTACATTCATTTTGCCCCCAAAAAAGTCGATGCCCCATGTTGCTTCTGACTGTTGCTCATGGAGAGACATTTCAGTATCTAAAACTAACAGAAACATTTAAACAACCTACCTGCATACTGGATGTGGACTGTTGGATATTAAATTCATGAGCAGCAAATATTGTGCTAATTATCAGTATTGAACCAAAGAAAGCAAGGCAGATTCAAGCCTTTAAAATTGTGACGCTTTTTATGGGCCAAATAGACTCAAAAATTGCAACAGCAGCTGCAGGGGGCCAAAGTAATTTTTTTGTCAGGGGGCCCAAGATTCCTGGTGGCGCCCCTGGTTCTGGAACACCCGGTTCGGTCCAGATTCTGGTTCTGATTCAGAAGCCTGGACTTCTTCCGAACCACCGACTCTTCCCACAATGCATCACTTCAGCAACTGTTACCCAGGTAACAGATATAGTCAGACCTGATCCGGTTCTGGATTCTAATGACCTTTGACCCAGTCAAAGTCGTGCTCGGTTCTGATAGGGTCTGTGGACTGGCTGGAGGTCCAGATGGTGGCCAGACCTGGAGAGGATGGAAAGTTTCAGCTGCTTTTATTTTGAAGTTCAAAAGGAAGTCCCTCTCCCACTGTTCCAGCCTGACTTGCTCAGCGGTTCATGAGATTCCCGTTAGTGTTCCCACTCTGCTCCTGTTTTTGGGTCCAGCGGCTCTCCGTGGCCTTCGGACCCGCCGCCGGTGCCTGTCGGGCGGCCTGCTCCAGCGGGACCTTTCGCTGCGGGCTGCGGTGCCGGTTCGGGGCTGCTGGTTCAGATTGGTTCTGTAATCTTCGGATTTAACGCTGAGCAGACGGCGGAGGGATTTTCTCTGATTCCAGCCTTCGCGGACTCATCAGCGGAATTAATCCTGTGTTCTGGTCGGGTTCGGATCCGCAGCTGATCGAGACCCGGTGGGCTGAACCGATCCGCATCACTGACCCAGGAACAGTTCAGAGAGCCGCTGGATTCTGCCAGGTCCAACCGGATCTTTAAAGGAACCGGTTCTGCGGGTTTGAACTGATTTTGATCCGAACTGGATTCAGATCAGATTAACAGCAGATATTGAAACAGCTGCAGCGCTGAACATCAGGAATAAAATATGATTCCATCTGTTTTCATCATCAATAAATACACGGAAATGCTCTGATTCATCCTCGATTCACGATCACAGAATCGGAATCGGATCATTTCATATATATATATATATATATATATATATAAATTATTTTAAATATGAAAAAACTTTCCATCCAATCAGAAACGAGGAATCAGTTCACAGCAGAACCAGCTGAGGTTTGATCTTCTAGGCACGAAACCATAGAAACCATGTTGGCGGCCATGATGGAGGCAGCCTGAAGGAATCGTCTGCTTTTTATGGGACGATTTACTGACCGTTGCTGTTCTTGCTTCAATCAGGAGGCTGCAGAATGGCATTATGGGAAGTGTAGTTGGAGGTTGCTCAGTTAGAAGCACTTCTGAGAGAGACTACTGCTCCCAGCATCCTTAGCAGCAGAGCGGGATGTCGGACAAAACGGCGCCGCGCTGCCAGCTGCGGCTGGAGTGGATCCACGGCTACCGGGGCCACCAGTGTCGGAACAACCTGTTCTACACGGCGGGGAAGGAGCTGGTCTACTTTGTGGCCGGGGTGGGCGTGGTCTACAACACCCGCGAGCACACCCAGAAGTTTTACCTGGGTCATAACGATGACATCATCAGGTGAGGGGCGGTGCCCAACGCAACCACGGCTTGATTGGTGCAAGACAGGCGGTTGGATGAAGGGGTCAGAGTTCATCCAACCGCCTGTTCATCCAGGCGGTTGGATGAACTCACACCTATCCTTCCATCTAAGGATACGTGTGCGTGTGTGTGTTATGCCAGTGAACACACACACTCTGTTCCTGTTGGCATCAGCGATCGGGTCACTGAGCCGCCTCCACGCTGCCTCTAGTGGAGAGAAGATGAATTACTTGTTAGGACGTGGTGCTGCTCAGATAAACGTGGGTTTAGTGACTCGTTCTGTCCGCAGCCTGGCCATCCACCCGGATAAGATCCAGGTGGCGACGGGTCAGGTGGGGAAAGACCCGTACATCTGCATCTGGGACACCTACGCCATGCAGACCGTCTCCATCCTGAGGGACGTCCACACCCACGGAGTCGCCTGCCTTGCCTTTGACTCAGACGGACAGGTAAAGCCACGCCCCCTCTCCGTGGTGGGCGGAGTCCAGAGGATGAATACTACAGTAATTATGACCGAAGCTGCCCTCAGGTCGCGTCACCTGCGTTTTTTATGTCTGTCTCATAGCGACTGGCCTCAGTCGGACTGGACGCCAAGAACACGGTGTGCATCTGGGACTGGAGAAGAGGGCGGGTCGTCGCCATGGCAACCGGACACTCGGACAGAGTAGGACTGTGGGAGGTTAAAGGTTCTGGAAACGGTTGGGTGCGTAACGCTCTGCTCCTCCCACAGATCTTTGACGTGTGCTGGGATCCGTTCCAGACCAGCCGCCTGGTCACCTGTGGAGTCAAACACATCAAGGTGAGACAGCGCCCCCACAGGGTCGCAGTGGATCTGCAGCTCACACATCATGAATCATAAAATCTTTGAGTGTTGATGAAAACTTCCAGAAGAGATTAAACTGTTAAACCATTTTATTGGCTCTGACATGAATTGGACTAAACACTTGATTTAGAGGTTAGGGCAGTGGCGCACCTGCACATTATTCAGGTGGATGCGAAAACATAAATCGGCGCTCCCCCCGCCCCCGAAGGATGGAACGTCAGCGTAGAAAATATACGCTTGCTTCCTCCCCCCCCCTCCCCCGAGGCGAGGATACGTTAAGTATGAAACTCGCGCTAGATTTACCTCATTATGTGCGTGAAGTGAAGGAGCATAAGGCGCGCTGAAGTGTATGGGAAAACATAATCGGCCCCCTCCAGACGGGGTTTTGGCGCCCCCTCTGGTGCTGCGCCCCTATGCGTTGCATACCCACTTTTTGCGCCACTGGGTTAGAGTTCTGTCTGCTGAAAGACACAGTAGTGAAAGATCTTCTTGCTGTTTCCTCGGTATTAGGGTTAGGGTTTTCCATGATGTCACACAAGGAGGCAGAAACTTTCAGGCGTTGCCTTAAAATACATCCACAGGTGTTTCTCCATTTCATTCAGAAGTTTAGATCAACCAATCAGAAGCTTAAAAACCCATGACATCATCATCATCTGGTCTTTAGCAGAGAGAACTCATTCTTGTAATTCAGATGACGACCTGAACCAGGAACCATTTAGCCTGATTGAATGTCAGACAGACAGAATAAAAAGGTTTTGGCTAACTCGGAATCAGTTATAGACTTCAGAATGGTCCGAATTGGACTAGAACCAGTCCAGTTCATTCTAATTCAACCTAGTCACATGGAGTCCAGTTGAGTCCTGATGTTTGTGGTGAAATCCAGGTGATGACCAGATGTGAGTCAGTGCAGCAGGGAGGTGCTGCACTTAGATATGAGGTTGAATATCTAAGGCAGGTTTCCAGTTCTGAAGGTGTTCTCTCTCCTGACTGCAGTTCTGGACTCTGTGTGGAAATGCTCTGACTCCGAAGCGAGGCATCTTTGGGAAGACAGGCGACCTGCAGACCATCCTGTGTGTCTCTGCAGCCAAAGATGAGCTGACCTACTCTGGAGCTCTGAACGGAGACATCTATGTATGGAAAGGAATCACTCTGATCCGGACCGTCCAGGCTGCACATGGGGTACCAACTAACACTCCAACATCTTCATAGCAGAGCCAGCTTGTTTCTAAACTTTGGATTGTTTCGTGCTTCATTGTGCAGGCAGGAATCTTCAGCATGCACGCCTGTGAGGAAGGGTTCGCCACTGGAGGACGTGACGGCTGCATCAGACTGTGGGATGTGGACTTCAAACCAATCACCAAGATTGACTTGAGGGAGGCCGAGCAGGGCTACAAAGGTGTGGAGGTGTTGTCACCTTATCCTGTAGTTGGTAGGGGTCACCCACTGAAATTTAGTCACAAGTACCCAGGAACCTAGGTGTACTTTGAGTACACTGGTTCCACGTGTGTCCAAGGTCAGCCCCCGTCCTAGCGTCAGGTCAGTCCCAAGGTACCCAGGTGTACCCAGCTTTAGATTGGTTTCAGTAACAGGTGTTTTCTTTTTCAGGACTGTCAGTTCGCAGCGTTTGCTGGAAAGCAGACCGGATTCTGGCTGGGACTCAGGACAGTGAGATTTTTGAGGTGATGGTTCGGGACCGGGACAAGCCAGTTCTGCTGATGCAGGGTCACAGTGAGGGTGAGCTCTGGGCGCTGGACCTGCACCCCAAGCAGCCAGTGGCAGTCACCGGGAGTGACGACCGCTCAGTCAGGTTGGTTTGAACTAAAACTCTCCACCGTTGTCTTCCCTTGTCTGATTCAACCCCATCTGGGTCTCACCTGTTCGTCTTATCTGTGTCAGGCTGTGGAGTCTTCCAGACCACACCCTGCTGGCACGCTGCAACATGGAGGAGTCGATTAGGAGTGTGTCCTTCAATAATGACGGCTCCCAGCTTGCTCTTGGTATGAGGGACGGTTCATTCACCGTGTTGCGAGTCAGGTGCTCTCACTCATTTTTCCTTAGAGTTGCTGCTGCCTCATCAGCTTCATTAGCTGCAAAGGCAAGGTGGGTTTAATGGTCGGTAAAACCTCTTCCTCTGCAGGGACATGACCGAGGTTGTGCATATTAAGGACAGGAAGGAGGTCATCCATGAGCTGAAGTTCTCTCCAGATAGCTCCTTCTTGGCAGTAGGCTCTAACGACGGCTTGGTGGACATCTACGCCGTTGCTCAACGCTTCAAGAAGGTGGGAGAGTGCAGCCGCTCCACCTCCTTCATCACCCATCTGGATTGGTCTGTCGACAGCCGCTTCTTGCAGACCAACGACGGCGCCGGCGAGCGGCTCTTCTACAGGATGCCAGGTATTTATCTCAGAGTCCAAACTGGTCAGGTATAGTTTGAAGAAGCCTGATAAATCTTGAACCCGGCAGGTCGTTACAACTGGTATCAATATGTTCTAAAACCCTAGTTGCATCCCAGTTGTTTGAACCAAGGATTGGTTTTGGATGTGTGTGTTCTGGTCTTGCAGCAGGAAAACTCGTTCCTAAAGAAGAAGCAAAGGGGATCCACTGGATGACCTGGACCGGTACCATCGGGCCAGAGGTGAATGGAATCTGGCCCAAATACTCCAATGTGACCAATATGAACTCAGTGCATGCCAACTACAGCAGTGCTGTGCTGGTGACCGGGGATGATCTGGGTCTCATCAAGCTCTTTAGATTCCCCTGCCTGAAGAAAGGTTTGTATCTTCCTTCAAACAGGAACATTTGGTAACTCAAGGTTTGACAGAGTTTTTAGACCTGGTTCTGAATTTTCTGGGCTATTTCCTGAATGAATACATGAGTTTCTAACAACTGCTTCCTGACACAGGGGCCAAGTTTAAGAAGTACATCGGTCACTCTGCCCATGTGACCAATGTTCGCTGGTCTAATGACCTCCAGTGGGTCATCAGCACCGGTGGCGCTGACCACGCAGTTTTCCAATGGAGGTTCCTTCCTGAAGGTGTAATGAACGGTGTTCTGGAGCCGCTTCTTCAAGGTAGATTAAACCTTTATCTCATCTTCTAATCAAAGGATCCACGAAAGTTGAGTACATTGAGACCAAAAGGACCTGTCAGAACCACAGACAGAACTATCTGTAGGATCTCAGCACCCTGAAGAGAGCATGTTGTTATTTTCTGGTCTTGATTTCTCAGAGGGGTACGCTGACTCCAACAGTGGCGAGTCAGATTCAGATGTGTCAGACGTTCCAGAGCTCGACTCGGACATCGAACAGGAAGCTCAGACCAACTATGATCGCCAGGTGAGAAGGGAACAGACAGCGTTTACCTTTCTATGACTTGTTTGTGTGTCTGACCCACCAGTGTCTGTCTCCAGGTGTACAAGGAGGATCTGTCACAGCTCAAGAAGAAGCTGATAGGATCCTTGAAGAGACAGAAAGCACCGGAGGAGGGGCTTCGTCTACAGTTCGTTCACGGGTAAAAAAGTTTAAACAGTCAAACATGTCAGTTATAGGTCAATAAACCTTTATTGACCCTTTGCACCTGACATAACGTTCTTCAGAAAGCGGCCCACTCTGCCATGACGGACAGCAAAACAATCTAGGCATGCTTTAACTCTTTTAAAGCTTGTCCAAGCTGTACAGTTGGCCACCTAATATCACTTTTATTTTGCTGATTCACTGGTGAAATGGCTGTAAGGTGCTGAGCAGTTGGCTGCACAAACCGATAAGGATGCAAACCAAACTTGTCATTTTACTGTAAACCTTTTGGCAAGGAAAGAAGATGCTGATCACAAGATCACAGATTTGAAGCAAACATTTTTTACAAGGTAAGTAACTAAAGTAAGTTAGCTTAACTTGAACCAGGAGAAGCCATGGCTAATCTGGCAAAAACAATTTGGGAAAACAACCAGTACTCCCGTTCCTCACTTCCAACGACATGGCAGTGAAGGGCGCAACATGATTAGGTGACGTAGTTGCAAAGGGTCTACATGAGCTTGGTCTATATGGGTCAGTATTAGCCAACGGTCTCTACCTCAGCTTAGATTAGAGGTCTTCAACTCCAGTAAGGAGACCTAAGATCCTGTAGCTTTCTGACGCACACCTGAGTTCTCACCAGCAACCAGACCTGCAGCTCCGCAGAGGCCTGGAACCCGGTGTTGGATTGTAGCTCTGAAGGACTGGAGCTGGAACCAGATTTAGACCTTTTGAGCAAAAATATAGAGATGTTCTCTTTTAAGAAACAGTTTATTCATGTCCGCTCATCTTCCTGAGGTTTAAATCAGATACAACAGGTAATCTCTCTGCCTTTGTGTTATTTTGCTGATTTAAACCCTATGATGAAGGGACTACAGGTAAACCACACTCACCTGAACACTTTAGAGAGAAAAAGGTTGACTGGAGCTGATAATCCACAAAGTTTCCGTCATTAGCTCACATTTAGACCCACATTCAGAGCAGTTTTTAGAACACCAGCAGCTTTAATGAGCTGCTCATCACACCCCCTGTGACTTCCTACTTCCTGTTGGCTGCAGGTACCGTGGCTTTGACTGTCGCAACAACCTGTTCTACACCCAGACGGGGGAGGTGGTGTTCCATGTGGCCGCAGTCGCTGTCGTCTACCACCGGGTGCAGCACAGTCAGCGCTTTTACCTCGGACACGACGACGACATCCTCAGCCTCACCGTTCACCCTCTCAAAGACTACGTGGCATCTGCTCAGGTACGCCCAGCCAATCATAGAGCAGCTTGTTTTGGGACACATTTTTAGGGTTTCTAATTGGCTGTCTGTCATTAGGTGGGCAGAGACCCAGCCATCCACATCTGGGACATCCAAACCTTGAAGTGCCTGTCTCTGGTCAAAGGTCACCACAGCAAAGGAATCTGTGCTCTGGACTTTACAGGTCAGTCAAATCTCCCCACAAACTCTTCCACCTCATCTGGAGTTCCTCCAATCAAACGTAGAGATCATATAATGTCCAGTAAAGCAAACATTTCCATCCAGTGGGACATGTCCTGACCACCTCAACTAGTGAAAAGGTAAATGAAAACTTCTTCTGGTGTTGAAATGTGATGAAACAGAACAACCAATTCAGACTTTGTTTGGACTGAATTTGGACATTGAGGCTAAAACACTTTGATCCAGAATTTACTGAAAAGTTCTCCATGGACATGTCCATTCAGTGTTTGGAGGACATCTTTAGTGGTATCTTATTACTCAGTGAATAGCCAAGAATAAAACCAAACCATATGACCTGGGTTCCTGGTGGCACCGTCACATGCTGTCCATAAAGGTGATGAACAGAACCAACCAGCCGGCCCTAGAACTCCCAGTGTTCAGATCATCCAGGCCCTGGGTGGTCTGTAGTCCAGCGCCACCAGGTGGCAGTCCTTGTCCATGAAACTTTCACCAGCAGGTGGCTTCAGTGACTTCACCTCCAGCTCCTGAACCAATCACAGCTCAGCTCTGCTTTGATGAGCATCATCCAGCGGTACCAGCCTGCTGTCTGTAGGGATCCTTGGAGTTACCTGGCTGGGACATCTGAAACCTCTTGCTGCTCCATATCCAACCCTAATGTGTCCTTTTGTCTCTGTCTGTCCCAGCGGACGGAAAGAGTTTGGTCTCGGTGGGAATCGACGAGTTCCACTCCATTGTCATCTGGGATTGGAAGAAAGGAGAGAGGCTGGCTAAGGCCAGGTAAGTACACCTGGACCCAGGTCTGATGCAGACTGGGTCTAAAACCAGGGTAGTTAACTGAAGTTAACTGACCTTCACCTGTTGGCTACAGCAGTGAGAGGTAGAGTAGAGGTGGCTTCAGGTTATAGTCTAATCTGCTCCAGCATCAGGCCAGATTCTCCCAGTCAGACGGACTGCAGATGGATGTGTCTCTGCCTGATTGACTGAAGTCCTCCTGTGTCCTGCAGGGGCCACAAAGATAAAATCTTTGTGGTGAAAAGCAACCCTTTCAGGGTGGACAAGCTGGTTACTGTGGGAATCAAACACATCAAGTTCTGGCAGCACTCAGGTATGCTTCCTGTCTTCGTTTTAGAAAAGGTTCTGTCTGCAGGAGATGAAGACCTGAGAACCTGACACAAGGAGCCAGGATCCACCGTCTGTTCTCTCCAACTAGGAGGCGGTCTGACGTTTAAACGGGGAATTTTTGGGAACCTTGGGAAGCAGGAAACCATGATGTCAGCATGTTACGGCCGGTCTGAGGACATGGTCTTCTCTGGAGCCACCAATGGAGACGTCTACATCTGGAAGGACACAACACTGATGAAGACCATTAAGGCTCACGACGGACCCGTGTTCACCATGTGCTCCCTGGACAAGGTGACGCATCCAACCAACCAATCATCCATCCATCCATCCAACCATCCAGCCACCCACACACACACATACACACATACATACAGACAGACCTCAGGTCTTCAGCGACCCATTTCTTCAGTCTTATCAGAACCAGAACCTGGTGAGAGACGTTGAGCTTCTCTGTTCCTCAGATCTGGAACAAACTGCCTGAAAACCTGAGATGATCAGAACCTACCGGCCACTACTGTGTGTTTCTTTCATGGTGTTTATATCTGTATTTTATCATCTTCTTGTTTGATGCAAAAACCTTTCATACAATAAGGTTTTTGTTAAAAAATGTGTCTGATGTCCCATAGAGCCCCTCGGATTGTCTTACTGTTTGAAAGGACCTAATAAATAAAGTCGTCTTGTGTTGCGTTCACTGTCAGGGTTTTGTGACCGGAGGAAAGGACGGCATTGTGGAGTTGTGGGACGACATGTTTGAGAGATGTTTGAAAACCTACGCCATCAAAAGGGCAGCTCTGTCCCCGTCCTCCAAAGGTGTCCTCTCTGGCGTCCACAGCTTCCCCTCCTAAGGATTCTGCTGTTGGACTGACAATGTCTTCCTTCTGAGCAGGTCTGCTGCTGGAGGACAACCCGTCCATCAGAGCCATCACTCTGGGTCACGGTCACATCCTGCTCGGGACCAAGAACGGGGAAATTCTGGAGATAGACAAGAGCGGGCCAATGACGCTGCTGGTTCAGGTGAGACGAAGAGACTATCCCTGGTGAGATCCTACTGTTGGAAGGAGAGCTGTTTGACCTGTAGCAGCCACCGTAGCCTGAAGATCTCAGGTTCCTGGGAAGGTCTGTAGGCGTCCAGCAGACCTGAAGACACCTCCAACACTTCCTTCCTGCTTCTGTCCTTCACTGGAAAACCGAGATGATCATCAGTCCTTCCTCCCTGATCCACTTCTTCTCAGGTACCTCACCTGTGTCTCACCTGTGGTACTTCTATGTTCAGGGTCACATGGAGGGGGACGTGTGGGGCTTGGCAGCCCATCCTCTACTTCCTGTCTGTGCCACTGTCAGTGACGACAAAACTCTGAGGATCTGGGAGCTGTCGACCAATCACAGGATGGTTGCTGTTCGTAAGCTGAAGAAAGGTGACACCTGTTCAGGTAAGCGCAGGTTTTATGCTAGTTTCACTTGGCTAACCTGTATTCTGTGTCACCTGCCAGGTGGGCGGTGCTGCACCTTCTCTCCAGATGGTAAAGCTCTGGCAGTCGGTCTGAACGACGGCAGCTTCATGGTGGTGAACGCTGACACCCTGGAGGACATGGTGACCTTCCACCACCGCAGGGAGCTCATCTCAGATATCCGCTTCTCCTTAGGTACCTGAACTCACTACACAGGTGTGACAAGTGTTGAAGCTGGGTCCCTAAGGTGTCAGGGGTGTTTCACAGATGCAGGAAAGTATTTGGCTGTTGCATCCCATGATTCCTTTGTGGACATCTACAACATCCTGACCAGTAAGAGGGTTGGAATCTGTAAAGGAGCTGGAAGCTTCATCACCCACATCGACTGGGACTCCAGAGGTGGACTCACCTGTTTTAATTAACCTCAGATGTTGACATTTCCCTGGTCCTCATCTTTACCTGATGTTCAAGGTCCCAACCTAACATCTCATTCTGATGTTTTCCCTACAGGTAAACTCCTCCAGGTGAACACCGGAGCTAAAGATCAGCTCTTCTTTGAGGCTCCACGAGGACGCAGACAGAACATCAGTGTCTCGGAGGTCAGAAAGCATGTCTCTCTGTTTTCTCTGAGGCGTTTGTTCCCCGAGGTCATAGTGCTGTTTCTGTGTCCAGTTTGAGAAGATGGACTGGGCCACTTGGACATCCGTTCTGGGTCCCACCTGTGAAGGAATATGGCCATCATTCAGCTTTGTGAACGCTGCTTCACTCACCAGAGACCAAAAACTTCTCGCCACAGGAGATGATTTTGGCTTCGTCAAACTGTTCAGCTTCCCGTCCCGGGTGAGTCCAGAGACAGAGTCTAAAGTTGGTTTTCCTTGAGGATCTCTGTTCATCTCCTCAGTCTCTTCTCCCAGGGTCATTTTGCTAAGTTTAAGAAGTACGTGGGTCACAGCACCAATGTGACGAACGTGCGCTGGTCCAATGATGATGCAGTGCTTCTGTCTGTGGGCGGAGCTGACACGGCGCTGATGATCTGGACCAGAGAGCCGCCGGGCCACAAGGAGAGCAAAGCTGTGGACAGCGAGGAGTCGGACGATGACCCTGAGGAGGACGGAGGTAACATCAGAGGAGGAAGGAGGTCATAGTGAATGTCTGGCTGGTTGGTTCTCTGGTTCTGCACTCAGATTGTTGGGGGCTCTCAGGTTGATTTGAGTTTTAGAGATGCAGTTGTAACCACTAGCTAAAAAAGCTAGTTGTGCTAACCCTAAAGACCTAATCACAAACAGCTAGCTGCACTAATGCTAAGTGCTACAGCAACATGGTATTTAGCTGAATCCAACTTCAAGCATATTTTACCCACCATGTATCAATAACATATGTGCTACATCATAGCATAGCGCCCTCAGCAGGGTCATATCTGTCATTACACACCGACCTGTACAATTTACACTTCAGGAAGTGATTCTTTGGAAAAGGCTTTTCACTCATCATTTCAATTTTATAGTTGAATTTTGTTATCTCACATTTTCAAAATTAACCCAAGTGCTAAAGCAAATGAAAAAATAGCTCTTCTATTGGCACATTAGCAGATTTGTGGACTTGTGTCCACCACTGCAAAGATGTTTTCTGAGAATGGCAATGTTCTGGTCAAGGACAACACCAACCTTCAGCTCCCAGGGCCACGGCACCGCCATCCAGAGTGAGTAGAATTGTCTGAGAAACAGTAATTGGTGAATTTCTGTTTTTTTAGGTTACGACAGTGATGTGGCTCGGGAGAAGGTGGTGGACTATATCACTAAGATCTACTCAACAAGTATCAGGAACATGACAGGAACCAAGCCCCACCTGCAGCACAGAGAGCTTCCTCTGGAGGACAGGTAACCTGAAGGCCTCCTGATGAGTTCAGGTGCAGTTTGTTGTTAACGCTGCTCTTCCTGTTCAGGCCTCCTGTGAGCCGGGCCGTCCCACTGCCTGACAAACTGCTGAAGGACAACATGACTAAGAAGAGGAAAGCGGTGGAGGTCGGCACATGGCATCTCCTTGATAACGTCCAACACGTCCTGACATCGGCTCTAACTGCTGTCTGCGTCTGTTAGGAGCTGCTGCTGGAACACGTCTTCGGCTACCGAGGCTTCGACTGCCGCAACAACCTGCACTACCTCAACGATGGCGCCGACATCGTCTTCCACACCGCCGCTGCTGTCGTCATCCAGAATCTGTCTGCCGGTGCGTAGAACCATCAGTCACCGTCAGTCATTGCCAATGTTGCTCATGAGGTCATTTTTCCGGCTTCCTGTCCTGACAGGAACTCAGAGTTTCTACCTGGAACACACAGATGACATTCTCTGTCTGACGGTCAACCAGCACCCAAAGTACCAGAACATCATCGCCACTGGACAGATCGGTAAGTGTGAGAACGCACACCTTCAAATCACCTTCAGGTGATCTTACCTGCGTCTCAGGTAGCAGTAGCATAGCAGAGAAGGTTCTGGTTCATGATCATAATAAGATCACTGGCTGCTTCCATCAGAAAGTAGGAGTGCTAAGTAGAACATCTAAAAGAACCTTTTCAGTAAACCCCACGACCACCTGAATAAAAGTTTGAATGAACTTGTTTGGAATGTTAATAACAGGCAATGATGTTTGGTTTTATGTCACAATCTGGTAAAATATCTCAGCTAATTTCATTTAGTTCTGAAGCAGCTCGAGTGTCATTAAGAAAGTTGTTTCAGATCATGTCCTATCAGGTTGGGTTCTCTAAGACCCAGTTCATTTAGTCAGATTGTTTCAGCTCAGATTCTTACAGGTCAGGATTCCTGAGGTCAGGTTCTTATTGGTTGAGTACTAGAAGTTCTTGCAGGTTGGGTCCATTCTGGTCTGTTCTGGTGGAAAGCTCATTTGTAGGTCCCACAGGACCATCCATGTAGTGAAGGTTCCCAGGTGAACCAAGCTCAACTGTAAAGGTGTAGGACCTGCTGGCTCTCAGAAGAATAATCTGCAATCTATCGAAGAGTTCAGTCTTCATTTGAAGCTGCAGGAATGGAGAACCAACTGAACATAAACTGGGGGCTTGTCCGGGATTCTGTCTTGGACAAGCTCCCAGTTTCTGCTACGACCTGGCTTTCCTGCAGGTCCAGTGAGGCTGCAGAGCAGTGTAAGGCCACCAGAGGGAGCCAGGTGTGTGGTAGCTGATCCATGTTTCCTCCTGTCAGAGGATGTAGTCAGAGTGCAGGTCGTTAGCTCCTCTGCACATTGCTTTCATGCATGACTGGCTGCTTTTGGTCCATCACACCTTTCCTTCTTTTCCACTGCTTCCTCATTGTCACTGCCTCTCTTCGCCACCAGGTGACATCTCTGACCTGCCAGGTAAGGCTGCCTCTACTTTCCTCACCGTGCTCATCATCATTCACACACATGATTCTGTTTGCTCTGCTGTGTCGTCTGCTGTCGGTGTGTAGAGACCGAGGTGTCTGGTGAGTACCAGTGGTCAGGGTCCGGGTCGAGTCCGACCCATGTCTGTTCTGTCCTAGACTAGATCTGCTCTCATGTGGGCTCAGAAAACACTCGCTGCAGAACCTGCAGGTGAAGGAAGCTCTGACCTGAAACTGGACGCTTGTTGTTTCCAGTGTCATCAGGCAGAAAAGTGACGCATCAAGTTTTTTCTTTTTGATTCCAGACTGAAAGAAAAATGGTTCCCAGTTTTTATTCTGGCAGTAATAAAATAATTTATTATTTCAAAGGAAGTAATTATTCTGATCCAGTTAGATTCTACTTTAGATGGGTCACGGTTCCAAATGTTGAAATTTCAGTAGCAGGAGAGGTGTTCCCCCTGGAGGTTTACCAGGACCCCGGTTTTTACTGGACTCTCCTGGTTCTGATCCTGATAATGATTAAGATTTTTCCAAAGGATTCTGGTTTCACCATCAGTCTGAGCCTGTAGTTTCCTGTTCTGACCCGATAAATGACAGAACCCGACCAGAACCGGGTTCTGTATTGAGTGTTTTCATCAGGATGATGATGTGGCAGACAGGAAGTAGCAGCATTCCTGCATAGCGCCCCCTAGTAGCACACCTGGGCCGATTGTTCCCCATGTAGAACTGACTGATGGTTGGATTGGTTCTGTTTCTGCCCTGTTTGGACCGGGTCCTGTCAGATGAACTGAATGATTTATCTGTTGATGGTTCTGATCTGAATGAACATTTCCTCTTCCTGTTTGCAGGAAGTGACGATTTTATTGCATCCGGCCTTCCTGTTAACCCTCGCTTTGCCTGTGGTGTTCTCTCCACCTGAACTGCTGGGTCCCTCCCACTGTCCCCACTCTGTCCCTCCCACTGTCCCCACTCTGTTGGTGAGATCTGGATCCTGCCTTGCTTTCTGGCTACGGTGCTGAGTCAGCATTCCTGCTCTCTTCTGGGGCAGAACCAGCTTCTACATTCACATGCTAATGGTGGTTAGCTACTACTGCCTTGGGGCTGTCTGACAGAGGCAAGGCATTGACGCCACCTGCTGGTGGGGCGGGGTTTGAACCAGCAACGGGTTACCGGACAAACTCCTGCCTCCTGAGCCACTGTCAGAAGTTACTGTTTTAACTGTGAAGCGTCCCAGTACCTCTGGGTGGCTTGGGTCGGAGAGCAAGTGCACCAGGTGCAGAGGCTACAGCCCTCGACTCGGTTGCCCTGAGTTAGATTCCTGGTCTCAGGCCATTTGCTGCATATCTTCCCCGTCTCTCTCTTCCCTATGTCCACTTACTGTTCAATAAAACCACTAGAGACTAAAAAAGTTATTGAAAATAAACAAGTGGCACAGTATTGAGAAATAAGATCAGGTTGAGAGAGTCAAGATCGAAAGCAATCTGCTACGTACCATGAGCTAGCAGGAAGTGACATGACCCAAACACACCTGGATCCCCTCAACCTCCTCATGGTTGGGTCATTATTTGCTGGTATCAATATCCTGTGAACTGAAAACTTTGATTGTTAATGTTCCACAATTAGAAGATAATCAGAAGGTCCAGCACAGAATGATCTGTTCTTTAGCTAACAGATAATTTTTTAGCGCTACAAGGAAGTTTATGTCTTGCTGAGATTTCTAGATTGTGTGGTTCCTTGACTCCAGCACAGTTTCTGTGACTCTAGATCTAGTGTTTTACAGGCTCTGACTTTGGTTCTCTGTCTCTGGTGTCTTCTCACAGGTCTTGCTCCATCCATCCATGTGTGGGATGCAATGACCAAGCAGACTCTTTCCATCCTGCGGTGTTCCCATGCTAAAGGCGTAGGTTATGTCAACTTTAGTGCAACAGGGAAGTTACTGCTGTCGGTGGGGGTGGAACCTGAACATACCATCACGGTGTGGAGATGGCAAGAAGGTAAGTTATGAAGCTGGAAACATGGAAGCATCTCTCTGCTGTCAAGGACCAGCAGTCTCACTCTTATTTCACATTTAAACATCTGAAAACTCAGAACTGCAGTTAGAATCCTGCCAAGGCATCTGTTGAAGTAGAGAAGAAACGTTACCTGTTTTGCTTTTGCTGCATCTGAAGCGCGGACAACCTGACCCTTTACCTCCATGACAGGCACCAAGGTGACCAGTAAAGGCGGTCACGCTGAGCGGATCTTTGTGGTCGAGTTTAGACCCGACTCAGACACTCAGTTTGTGTCAGTGGGAATCAAACACATCAAGTTCTGGACACTGGTTGGTGGTTCCCTCATGTATAAGAAAGGTGTGATTGGCTCAGTGGAGGATGGCCGCATGCAGACCATGCTGTCTGTCGCCTTTGGTGCTGTAAGTCCTAGTTATATGTAGTGCATTTATGTCTACCAAGTTTTAGTTTTATTGTAAATCAGTGTTTTCGTCCTAGAATAATCTGACATTCACTGGTGCAATAAACGGAGATGTGTATGTCTGGAGGGAGCACTTCCTGGTCCGAGTAGTGGCGAAGGCGCACAGCGGTCCCGTCTTCACCATGTACACCACGCTGAGAGACGGACTCATCGTCACTGGAGGGAAGGAAAGGCCGTAAGGAATTGAACTCACCTTTAGAGCTGTAGTCAGGGGTTAGTCAGGGTACTAAGACTTTCCCAGTCAGAAGGTTATCATAATGTTGTTTTACACATGGCTCTATGTGAGATGTTCTTGATCCATTAAATCTGGTCTTTTAACAAGACCCCTGGCTATCATCAATGTTCTGCAGATACTTTAGAAGAAAGAAACATCTCTGAGAACCTAAAACTGGTCCAGTTTCTCTGCATCCTCATTGTTCTGGGATCCAGCCGTTAGTCCCATTGGCTCTGTATTTGTCAGTGTAGGATGTGAAGGCCAGATCCTTTATTCAGAAAGACTTACTCTGTCTCCAGAGGAGTAGGTTGTGTACTCCATTAGGGTGTTTGTTTCACAGGACCAAAGAGGGGGGAGCTGTGAAGCTTTGGGACCAGGAGATGAAGCGCTGCAGAGCCTTTCAGCTGGAGACCGGTCAGGCAGTTGAGAACGTTCGATCCGTCTGCAGAGGGAAGGTAAGGCCCACAGTCTGCTTCTGACCTGCAGGCAATGCTAAGAATGTAAGGACAGTCTCTTCACCGTCTAAGTGTCCATGCTTTTAGACAAGAACTAGAGAGGCCTTTCTCTCTTGCTCTCAGTGAAGGCGGACTCTTTTTCCCTCTGCTTCTCCCTGCTTGCTTTGTTTTTCTGTTGCTTTTTTGAACCCTTTCTATGCACATCCTCCAAATCTACAAATTATGGATCTGGTCAGCTGCTCTCAATGCAATTGATCAAATTGTCTCGAGGAGAAGACTGGGCAGAGGAGAGCCCTCCTGTCCTACGGGGACACACCCAGAGGGATACATCCTGGATTTATTTGGATTCATGATAACAGGATTTCTGTTTGGAGTTGGCAGATACCTGGCATGTCGACAAATTTGTGACGGATTGGGCCGACTAGCAAACACTCAGACTGACACGGTGACAGAGACACCGTGTCAGTGGATGTGATTCTTGCTGAGACTCTAAAACTCTCTAGCAGGAAGGAATCGATCCTGGAGAAGTTGCTAGTTTTGGTTCAGTGGAACGGCCACACTAATTTGGATGATTGGAATTAACAGAGATGTATCGGTGAGACTTTAGGGCAGGTTAAAATTTAAAATCTACCCGACCTAAAGCTTTCTGCATCTGAACTGGCTCCCCTGTGTTAGCCTGGACTGGCTGGCGATCTCAAATCTCCTGGAAGATTTGTGAACGTAACGCTCCTTCTCTCCTCACTCCCTTCTGTAATCATCCGTGTGACTGTGGAGCAGAGCGCTCCCAAGGACTGGCTCCTGGATAACCATCATATCAGACTGTTGCCTGGGAGACCGAGCTGCATGGTTTCATGGTCATACACATGCAACACACAAACACAGGAAACAGATGCACTGTGATGTCACCGCCTTTTGCTGGCTTCATGTCTGAGCCTTATCTTGCTATACGTGCCATATCCTTCCCAATGTTGTCATTTCATTCTACCAATTCTTATTAGTTAGAACAAATTTAAGATCCAGGAAAATTCCTATTAGTTTATAAATTACAGACTACTTATTCTTACTCTTATTAAATATGGGGAACCAATATATAGTTTTTACCTTTCGGTTTGTTGTTTTGTTTGTATTTCCTTCTAGTTCATATAAAACACTTTGAACTGCCTTGTTGCTGAAAATCTGCTATATAGATCAAATTACCTAACCTTATCTTGCTGTGCTCAATCCAAGGTCCTGATCTTCTGTAACCTCTAATCTTTTCTGCCTCTGTTTGCTGCAGGGTAAGATTCTGGTTGGAACCAAAGACGGGGAGATCATAGAGGTTGGAGAGAAGAATGCTGCTTCCAACACCATGATCAATGGTCACACTAAGGGAGGAATCTGGGGTTTAGCATCGCATCCTTTCAAAGATGTCTTCATCTCTGCTAGTGATGATGGGACCATACGCATATGGGACCTGGCTGACAAGGTACTGACCTCCAGGGTCCAGTCTGGCCTTCAGATTTCCTGCAGTGCAAACTTTAATTTGTTTTGCTGCTTTAGAAACTCCTGAACAAGGTGAGTTTGGGTCACCCTGCCAAGTGCACATGCTACAGCCCCAATGGGGAGATGGTTTCCATCGGCATGGAGAATGGCGAGTTCATCGTGCTGCTGGTCAACTCCCTCACTGTCTGGGGCAAAAAGAGAGACCGCAGTGTCTCCATCCAGGACATCCGGTAAGTAAGGCAGTGCATTAGAGCTGAACTCCTCTGTGTGGTGTCTGTGAAAATCTGAGGCTTGTTGTGGTCCAGGTTCAGTCCAGATAACCGGTTCCTGGCAGTGGGTTCAGTAGAAAGTGCTGTAGATTTCTATGATCTGACTCTCGGCCCGTCACTCAACCGAATCGGTTACTGTAAGGACATCCCCGGCTTCGTTATTCACATCGACTTCTCTGCTGACAGCAAACACATCCAGGTGATCTGGGTTGAAGGTTTGGGTGTTTGACTGATCTCTGCAGCCTCTAATAGTTCACATGTTCACCTTGTTGTCAGGTGTCCACCAGCACCTACACTCGTCAGGTCCATGAAGTCCCCTCAGGAAAGATCGTCACAGAGCTGCACGTCATTGAACGCATCACCTGGGCGACCTGGACCAGGTAAGACTGACGCCGAGGTTGGGAAATGCAGCGTTTGGTGGGTTAGTAACAGTTCTATCCATCTGGTGCCAGTAGTTAGAAAGCTTGATGTCTGACTTGGTTCTGGTCCAAACCTGAAGGTTCCCCAGGACTTTTCCTGAAGGTATTGACAGACTTCAGTTGGATAACTCTGATAGGCTCGCTGAGGAGCCAATGAGAAGACAGGTTTTGATGGGTTCTGACTGGTTCTGACAGGGTTCTGACTGGTTC